CAACCAGCCTGTCTGATTCTCTGACTTCCTGTAACCAGAGCCAGAACCTGATCAGTTGTGTCTTCTCTACTTCTAGGAAGAAACCTGACTGAATCCTGGGACTCTGGAGGAGTCCCCCTCACTGAAATCTGCCTGCCGCATCTCTGGAGCTCTGGAGGAGCTCATCGTCAGAAACCAGCCAACCAGCTCCTGACTGAACCCAACCCAGGAGAACCAGGCCTCAGACCTCAGCCTGCCATCTGCCTTCGAACCTTCATGGCTTCCCCCTTTGGCCTGCTCAGCTCAAGCCTCAGACCTCAGCCTGTTGTCTGCTACTAAACCCACATCTGGAGGTCATCAAGCCTCAGCCAAGCTAAACCACAAGCCAAAGCACTCATTCTGTCGCCAACCTCTGGAGCCTCCTCGGATTATTCACCTCGTTCCTGGTCAGCAATCCAGTTGAGACCAGCCCTTGACTTGACTTCATCCTGACCAGCTTGTTCTTCCTTAAATAAACATTTAACTTTTTCTCCTGCCTCCTGAGTGTGTTCTACATATGGGCTAGAATATTCACCCATCATGACAGTACACTCTGGCCAACAAGCTAGCCCTGTGGAAACATCCTCAGACTCCTTCAATCGAGTTCTCCTTTTCTTCAAACAGTCCATAGATGACCTTTCCACCATTACTCCACCCCGTGAACGGATATCATCAGCTAACGTCATTATCTCCGAGCTCTAGAAACATCCAGACCTCAATAATAACCTTCAACTAGCCGGATACCTAGATCTCATCCATTGGAATATTCAGGACGCTTTTTCTAAATTATCATTCAAACAATCTCCACATACCTCCGAATCCAAACCTTCATCTGCTGCAGCTGCTGGTTCGCCTCTGCCTTCTGCCTCTTCAAGGCGTAGGAACCGCCACCGGGGAAAAAGGGGCACTCCTTCTCCGGCGGTTCTGCCAGTCGCCACCACTCCTTCTCCGGTGGTTCAGCCTGACACCTCCATCCTCCCTGAAGTCCACCCAGCAGTAAGCAGTCCACATCCTCGCCAGGTCAGTTCCGTCCATCTCAGCACCCACCTTTCAGATAAACAGATAAACTAATCAAAACCCCTGCAGCTAGAACTCCCCGCCAGTCAGATTCCAGATCAGAACCAGTCATTTTACCTGTTTTCCTAGCCTCTGAGTCTGCCAGCTTTCCTTTTTCTCCCGCTTCAGCTCACGTTAGCCATCCTATTTCCTTAGTTTCAGGACCCGGAAGTGATCCGTTTCCGTTAGCCTCAGAACCAGTTAGCTTACCAGCTCCTTTAGCTTCAGAGTCCGTCAGTCATCCTATTTCTCCAGTTTCTGTTAACACTTCTTTTCCTTTAGGTCCAGAGCCCGGTAGTGTTTTTGTTCCACTAGCTTCAGAACCCGCCATCATTCACATATCTCCTGTTTTTCAGCCCATTAGCATTCCAGAATCGTTAGCGTCAGAACCCGGAAGTAATTCTGTATCTCCAGTTAGCGTTGCTGCTTCTCTAGCCATAGAACCCCAGGCAGTCAGAGCTCCCCACATTCAGGAGTCTGATCTCTGGAATTTCTATTATGGGGATAGAGATGATCTTTTCCCGTTTATGCCACCTCGTATCTCTCTTCCCCAGTCAGAACCCATTGTCAAACCTGTTAGCTTAGCGCCCGAACCCACTAGCACATCACTTAACCTTTTGCCAGAATCAGCCAGCAAACCCATTAGCCCAGCTCCTAAGAACCCCCGGCATAAGAAACGGCGTCGCTGTGAGTCCGCTCTGAGCCGTCTAGAGACCCCTGAACTAGCTCTGAGCTGTCTAGAGACCCCTGAGCCAGTTCTGAGCCATCTAAAGACTCCTGAGCCAGCCCTGAGCCGTTTTGAGTCAGCTCTGAGCCGTCTAGAGACCCCTGAGTTAGCTTTGTGCCGTCCAGAGACCCCTGAGTTAGCTCTGTACCGTCCAGAGACCCCTGAGCAGACTTTTAAAGAGGTGTCAGAATTCGGGGTATGTGGTATTATGCCTCCTAGGACCTCTCTACAGGCGCTCCTGACCGCCAAGAGTCCTCTGCAAGCATCACAAGCCACTACAGAGAATGAACCTTTGCCGCCATGGGCGGTTTCTTCCATGCTGGATTTGGAGCCACAGTCGGTGCTCTCCTCTGTTCCAGATGTGGAGCCACAGTCGGTGGTCTCCTCTGTTCCTGATGTGGAGCCACAGTCGGTGGTCTCCTCTGTTCCAGATGTGGAGCCGCA